GTGGCTGGGAACTGCCCGCGCCCGACGCGCGCCCCCTGGCGTGGCCCCCGCGGCCCCCCGGGGCCCTTTTCCGGTCCGCACAGCGGCGGGCCGCCTCTTCGTGACGTCACGCCGATGACGTCACGCTTCTGGCGATGCGTGACTCAGGAGTGTGACCGTCACGTTCCTCCCCCACTGTAGAAAGGCGTGGACGCGGCCCGGCCGCAACTCACCTTCCTCGCCACCCGGCGGGAGTAGAGGGAGTCTCGGTCCGGAACTTTGCTCCTCCTCCCCGACGAGTGGAAAGGAAAGTCCTCCCCCGGTGTGGTGGCGGTGGGAGAAGCCCCCTCCCCCTTACGGTGTACCAAACCGGCCGGGGGTGGCGTGCGAAGCGAGGAGCGCGAAGCAGTGTGCCAAGTCGCGTCGCGGGGCGGATATTGCACTGTTAGGAGTGCGGCGACTCGGACTGCTGCTGCTGCGCGGCCTGCGCGGGGCCGCCACTGCCTCTCCCTCTTCTTCTCCCTCTTCTTGCTGGTCGCGCTCCCCTCCTCCCCTTCCAGGCCCACCTCGTTCCCTCCCCTTCTCTATTCTTTCCTGCGGCGATGAGTGCATTGCCCTCGCACATGTGGCTCCCCTTCGCCCCCCTCCCCTCCCCTCCCCCTCCACCGCTCGTCGTAAGACAGCTGTGCTGCGGTCATCTAGGATGGGGTTGTTGGTTGGTTGGTTGTTCGGCCCGTTGCAGTGTCGATGCGCGTTTCGCCTCAACTTTTCATTTCTCAACCGGTTTTTCCTCCGAGTTGGCGTTGGCGCGTAGGCGGCACTGGGATTGCCCGCGTGTCTGCGTGGTATGTGTATGTGTGTGTGGGTAGTGTGAGTGAGTGAGTGAGGACGTGTCCTTATCTGCATGGGGAAGCAGGTCGCCTCGGACTGTGGCATGGAGGCTTCGGGCGTCGCTGGGCGTCGCTGTGCCAGGCGGCCGGTCCGAAGCAACAGGGCCAAGGCGGCCAGGGAGACGGGCACCTTGATGGGCCCCACGGCCCCACGGGGTGGTGGCGCCCACGCCTCGCCCACGCCTCGCCGTCAGGATGCCAGTGTCGTCGCCCTGCGTCCAGTCCGAGACCCGCACGGTGCGTGCCCTCTGGAATACAAACAGGACGCCGTCGTGCCTGGAGTCTGGCCGGCTGGAACGGGGCTGGAGCGGGGCTGGAAGCGGCTGGCTTGGGAGCCACTCCGCTCCAGAGCGCTGCTCGCGCAACCCCCGCCTCGCCTTGAAGGGGTGCGGCGTTGCCATGTGCGCGCGCCCCGCCCGGCCCCGCCCCGCCCCGCCACGCCACGCCACAGGAGAGGCAGCGCAACACCGCCGCGCTCCCTCTGTATGCTTCATGACGTGCGGCATGGCGGGGCTGGTGGGGTCGGGCGGGGCCGCCCCGAAGCAACAACAAGGGCGTCCCCGCGGTGGGAACGTGCACGGACGTCGCCGTCGTCGGCCACCTCTCGCCACTCTCTCGCCAATTTTAACAATGTAACGGCGTTGGAAATAGACACCGCCGCCGTCGCGATCCTCTCCGACGGCAGGCCGACTCTCCTTCTGTTTCCCTCCACGCCCCGCGCGCCCCGCGGGCGCGAGAGAGACAGTGCTCGGACTCCGCACTGCCGCCCTGCCGCCCCCGATGGCCTCGGCTTGCCTCGGTTCCCCGGCCGTCCCGGCGGCGATATTTCTGTGGGTATTATTGCGGCCCGACGTGGCTGTGGCGGCGCGGCGCCCACCAATCAGCGGCCGAGTCGAGTTGGGGTCGCGCCGCCACCCGGAAGGACGCGCCGCTCCTCGTGAAGTAGGTCCCCGCGCCGCCACACCGCTGCTGTCCCGCCGCCACAACGCCACAGCGACGCCGCCACGCCACAACGACGTGCGCTCGATGAAAGAACAAGAAAAATACGGACTACCGGCAAATGCGAAGCCAAACAACAACAACAACAACAACAAAAAGAAAACAAGGCCTGCATTGGCGAGTACAGCACCTTGCGGTGTGTGCAGCGCGCGCGTTATGATGGCGCCGTCGATGTGTGACGGCCTGGCTTGTGTGTGTGCGTGTGTGTGTGTACTGTGTGTGTTTGTGTGTGTGCGCGCGCGCGCCGCTGAATTACGTTTTCCCATTCTGTCGCTACAAAATGGTGCGCCCCCTCCCCTAGTTGTCTGCACTATGCGCAGTACGCTCCTCAGGTGAAGTACTGCGCCGTAGCGGCGGCGGCGGCCGTGGGGCGCGCCGGGCGTGAATGTAAACATGTCGGCGGGCATCGGGGCGGCGGGGGCGTCGTCGCATCGGGGTTGGTTGTCCATTCCCGTTTGACGTGGGGATTGCCACAGAGTGGAACTACGTGGGACTACACGAGGAGAGACAATCAAGGGGGGCCGACCCCAGTCTATCGCCCCGCCCCACCCCGCCCCCCCCCGCCCCACCCCGCCCCACCCCGCCCCCCCCCGCCCCACCCCGCCCCGCCCCACCCCGCCCCGCCAGCTCCGTGTTGTTCGTCGGGCCCCCGAAGGGCGGGCGGCGGCCAGCTAAGTCGTAGTGGTAGTAGTGGCCCCGATTTCAATGGCCATCTCATTAAGTTAGAGGTGCAGTCGGGGCGTAACGTGGCAAATATTAGGCATCGACACACACACACGCACGCACACAGGCACAGAGGGTCGCTACACAGCCAGGTAACGGCCACACCTTGCCCCGCCACGCCACGCCCCGCCCCACCACGCCCCACCACGCCCCGCCACGCCCCGCGGCGCGGTGGCCCATCACGCTAATGAAATGAAGCGGCATATTGCGCCGCCCGGCTCTCCGCTCTCGGCTCTGCGCTTGTGCGGACCGTGAGGACCGTCTCTCTCTCTCTCTCTCTCTCTCTCCCTCTCTCCCCTCTCTCTCTCTCTCTCTCTCTCTCTCTCTCTCTCTTCTTTCTCTTTCCCCCCACCGCCCACATCCCTTGCGGTAAATCCACTCTGAAATTTGGGCGAGAGCAGCGAGTAAGCGGGCGCGGGAGAGCGAGAGAGAGCAAGGTGGATGGAGAGTGATTACACGAGTGGGGCAGCAGAACGCCCCAAGTGAAATGGAGGGTGACGGATATGGGGCGAGTTCGAGAGAGAGAGAGAGAGAGAGAGAGAGAGAGAGAGAGAGAGAGGAGAGAGAGAGAGAGAGAGGGGGTGGGTGCAAACCGCGAAAAGAAAAGGGATAATTGTGCTGGCTGGATGGCGTGAGTGCGATTGTCGCAACGTGGCTGAAGAATGAAGGCTGCCTGCGGCCGGGGAGGGGAGGGGGGGGGGGGGAAGGCCTGTGGCCCGAGGCTCAAGGTGTGCGCCTGTTGACACTCCGCTTACCAGTGTACCAGTGGCGGGGCCTAGCGGGGCCAGGCCAGCTCCGCGGCTCCGCTCAGCCCGGGCCTCCGAGGGCTTATCTTATCTCGGGCGCCCTGGCCAGCCTGCCCCGCCCCGCCCCGCCCGCGGTCCCGGAAGGCCTGACCTCAGCGCGCGCGTAGTGTACCAGTGAAAGGAATCTGATTGGCGCGCGCGGTCTCTCTTCTTGGGCGGCACACCGAAGACACCGATCGTTATTTTGACGGAGATGTCGCCTCCCTGCTTTTTATCCCATTTTCTGACTCGTTCTGCCGCGCAGCGCGCTGTGGGTTTACAGGTTTTGTTTTTCCAGGGCCTCCCCCCCCCTTCCCCGCCCCCTTCCGGTCCCCGTTTGAACCAGATGCACCCAGCTGGAGGCGGCGTGTTAACAGCGTGCACGCAGCCAGCCCCTCCCGTACGAGTAATTATCACCTCGGGGCCTAAGTCAGTCCTGCGTGCCGCCGTGCCGCCGACCGCAACCACCAGCAACACCACTACGACGACCACCGTGCCACCGGCACTGCCACCACGACCACCACGGCACTGGTGCACTGTGGGCCAGAAGACAGGTGGAGGCGGCCAAAACTCTAGACGCGTTTTGAACTCCAGAGTCGCTAAATAGAACTCAAACCAAACGTGTGATCCGACCAATGGATTGCTCTCCGAACTAGGAAACCCGAGGAAACCATTGGCGGGGTCACACGTTCGGTTCGAGCCCCTGTTTGGTGATTCTGGAGCTCAAAACGCGCGTAGAGTTTTGGCCTCCGCCCGGCCTGGGTCTTCTGGCCCACTGTGCGTGCGCTAAGACGAACAGTCCCTCGCTTGGGCATGATCGGGCCGATCTTGGCCAGCAACTTGAACACCGTACCGGTCACCGCGCCGCCACCGTGGCCGCGGTCAGCCAGTCGGCCTCTCGCTCGGGGTCCGCGTCGAACTCCGCTTCCCACCGGGCCGTGGCGAGCCGCGCCGTGTGCCGTATGGCGCGGACACACTGTGCGACTGGCGCGACTGCACCGTGCAAGGGTCATAATTATGATGCCGGCTGCCAGCCCTGCCTGTCCGGCCTGCCTGCCTGTCCGGCTGCCTGCCTGCTCGGTCTGGCCGCCGGGCCACGCCGGGCCGAGGCCAGGTGCGCTGCTACTGTGTGTGTCCGTCCGTGTGTGTATGTCTGTGTGTGCGCACTCGCAGGCAGGACATCAGGGCGTCGTTAGCGGTCCGTGACCCTCGTGAACTGTCCGTTGTGTTGCGGGCGCGCGCTGCCCGCTGGCTGCCCTGTCCCTGGCTGCCCTGGCCACCTCGCCGCGCTGCTTTGTCAGTTTCGAACCACATTCACTCGACGCGGGGGAAGAGGCAGTGCTCGGGAGAAAGTGGATTTTGCTTCAATGCCAGTGGCTCAGTGCAGTGTTTCCTCCACACTGTTCAAAAGAAGCCGTACGGAAAGGGTACCGTTGCGTTGAAATCGCCATACCCGTCGTTAGTTTAAGTTTGCCATACTTATCAGTCCAGTGAACTGTTTGTTTCTGTCGTTTGTCTTTTGTTTGTCTTCTGCGATCAGTCTGAAATAAAAGCGAGATCGTGAAAACCTTGTTTGTCTTGAGGAAGTGTAGTCCTGACGTTCTGTTTTTCTCGTGTGTTGCAGGTGAGGGAGGCCAAGTGAAGTGCTTTCAAGGACAGGAGCCGCGATGCCGCCCAACGCCTTGCAAAAGGAGGGCTTCCCTATAAAGTGCATGGCCGAGGGCGCTGCTGAGTACCACCAGCAGATCATGAAGGTTATTATTCATTTATTTTCAATCTTTTGCCTCCCGTCTTGCTGGCGCTGTCCTGTCTCCTCGTAAGCATGGCCGTCGAGGTGGTGTTGGTGAGGGGAAGGTGAAGAGGAAGTGGTAGTTGGTTGGCTAATTCTGCCGATCTATGGTTTCGGGAGTGGACTGAATATTTTTATTTTTGTGTGTGTGCGCGTGCATGTGGTGTATGTGTGTGTGGTTTGTTTTTTCTTTTGCTAGAAAAAGACTAAAGTGGACTGGTTTGACAGGTGGGGCAAGAGGCTGGCGATTTGCCTGGGATTTTAAAACGCATCCATGGAATGGAGGTTTGCGACCATTATTCATGCCGCGTTGATTGGCGGCAGAGAGAGATAGAACGAGGAAAAGGTAGAGAGAGGGAGAGAGAAAAGAGGGGGGGATTTCGGTCATCGCAAATGAAAGCGTTTTGTGAGCCTGAAGAGGACAGCTAATTGGATGGAACAGACCTTATTGCTTTTGGTCGAAAACTCTGCACTGTGCGGCCGACGTATGTGTGCGAGGGCGCTCGTGTGTGTGCACACACACGTGTATGTGAGTGTTTTTCTCTGGATTGACGTGTATAATACAATTGGATTTTTGTTTCGCCGTTCGACCCCGCTGGTTGAGAGTTGCGTAGCAGTCCGTGGAAGTCGCCCCAATTACGGAGGCCACAGCGTGCTGTGGTTGTTCGAGAAGCCAGCCAGCCAGCCCGATCCACGGGGCGCACGGACACTGAAAATTTGAGTCGTCATTTGATGACAATTTCAAGGCTAATTTTCCTTACAATAATGTCATCAAAAACAATTGATGACATTGTTGTCACGCCCACGCAATAAGTATAGGAGCTTTGATGAAAATGTCATCAATTTGTGATGAGATTGTCCGAGGGGAAGTACATTGTGTTCCCGGATGGAATGACGTCATGCGCTCTGCTGCAGGCCGAAAGAAGGGTCGTTCCCTCGTCGCTCTGTCTCTCTCGCACTCATGGGGCGCCCCGCCGCGGCGCGAGAGAGACAGCGACGAAACGACTCTACGAAACTGGCGAAATCGTGCGCCTGTGTCGACGTCTGTTGACTCAGGGGCCGTTTCAGCTCGCTCCAGGGGGCGGCTGGACTCTTGGACTCCTCCGGAGCGTAGCGCCCCCCCCCCAGCGGACACTTCAGACACGTGACATGCAGTGATCCCGGTCGCCGAGTCGGTCCGTCGCGACAACTTCGAGCTTTGCTGCCATCAGAGGAACCGTTTTCCTGAAATACGCACACACGTGGCGTTCCGTATGGGTGCGAGGGAGACCGAATGCCCCATCTCTGTGTCGTTTGTAAAGAGAGCGCGCGACGAATTTGCTACCTGGTTGCGGATCTAATATCTGAGCCCGGCGTCGCAGCGAGCTAGGAGGGACGGAGGGAGAGAGAAAGAGAGGGGGTGGAGAGGGAGAGTGGGAGGGAGGGAGATACAGAGAGAGAGAGAAGGGGGTGGCTGAGGCGTCGGAGTTGCAAACGACCCTGCAAGTGGTAGTGAGTGAGTCGCAGAGAGTGTGCGTGGAATGAGGTAAAGGGATGAGCCCCGGATGATGAAATGAAAATGGGGAGCACACAGGGGGGGGGGGGGTGCGAGGCGCGCACCCCAGAGCGAGTGGGCGTGGCGCGGCGCGGCGTTTAGAAAAGTTGTCTCGGCGTCGCGCAGGGAGGGGCCGGGGGCCGTGCTGCGACTGCGCCCGTGCCACGCGTTTTTCCTTCCAACTTTTTTCCGCCTCCTGCTTGGCGTCGTCCTTCGGCCGTCGGCGGCCGTTTGCGACGCCACGCGCCTCACGCTTCGGAGCGATAATTCGCTGCCGTTGACGTATTTGGCGGCCGGCCTCGTATTTATATACATTGTCTGCCCCGCCCGGCCCCGCCCCGCAGGCTGGTTACGAAGAGTGCCTTTGGTCGCTCTGTCTCCGTCACACTGTCGGGGCGTGCCGCCGCGGTGCGACGGAGACAGAGGAAGGGCCCGGGAGAGGAGAGGCCGCCCTCTCCGCCCTCTCAGATTCGCGGCGCTTGGCCGTAATCCCCGCCTTGTTAACACGCCCTAACGAACTCATCCCTTATTTAACGACGCGCCCGGCCCGGCCGAGGCCCTCGCAAATTTCAAAATCTCGCCCGACATTATTTTTATGGTTTTGTGTCTTTTTTCCTCTCTCCCCGGCCGTGGTTTTGGCGTTTTAATTATTTTGCCGCCTCGGCGCGCTCGGCGCGTTCGCCGCGTGGACCGGGCGGGACCCGGGCACAAAGGCGCGCTGCGCTAGAGTCGCGCCCGCCACGCCCCAACGCGGCGCACCCCGCCCCGCCCCGCCCCGCCCCGCCCCGCCCCGCCCCGCCCCGCCCCGCCCCGCCCCCCCGCGTGTCACGTGTCAAACTTGGAAATCCGCGGCCGCGGCGCGCCCCGGCTGCTCCTGCACCGCTGCTTGTTCGGGAGCTGGCGGTGTACGCCGCGCTGCTGGGGCGGGGCGGAGCGGGGCGCGACACTGCGGGCAGGGCGGGGCAGGGCGGGGCGGGGCAGGGTGCCCTCTATATTTCATTTTAAGCCTGGATTCCGGGGGCGCCTCCTCGCGCCCCGAGGTGCAGCCGAGACGGGCGGAGAGAGAGAGAGAGAGCGTCGAGAGGGGCACGGTGCGCGGCGCGGCGGCCCTCCAGGCAAGAAGAAGACCCCGCGCGTCGAGGACGCACGCGCCGCGCAGCACCGCCGAGTCTCTTCGGGGAAGCAAGCCGAGGCAAGCGCAGCAAGCGGAGCTGTCTTTCTAAACTGTATCGAATCACGTCGTGGCCCAGACGGCGGGGCGGGGCGGGGCGGGGCGGGGCGTGGCGGGGCGGGCAGCCAGCGGCGAGCGAGCACTCGGGCGACACGGGGCGGCCCGGCGCGGCCCGGCCGGTGCGCGTTTGATGTCGGGGGAGGTGCACGGGGAGGACGAGGACGACCCCCCTCAAAGTCGCAGTGCCGCTGAGTGCGGGGCAGGGAGGAAGGGAGGACCGAGCTGCTCTTCGTTGCTCCGTCTCCCTCGCACCCCTGCGGGACGCGCCGCGAGTGCGAGAGAGACGGAGGCCGTGGAACGGGTGGGCGCCCTTTGCAGCGTTGCAGAGAGGGAGTCCTCGCGACGATTACCTCGGAAATATTCGCGCTCCGTCGCCAGGCCGGGCGTCGCGGCCTCCTTGGCGCCCTCCCCTCCCCTCCCGCCCTAGTGGACCTGGGCGCCATGATGGCCCGGGGCGTCGTCGGCGTCGCGTCGCGCAGTCAAGAAGCTGACGTCGTCACGCATTTTAATTCCACGCCCCTCCACCCCCTCGGCCCCGCGGGCTGGAAGGGCTGGCAGGGCCTGGGCCGCCTGGCCAGGGCCGCCCTCCAGTGTCAGAGGACACCTCATCTTGTTAGGCGGACGCCCCAAAGGGGTACGGTACCTCCAGCCCAAGCGCCAGCCCGGAGCCTGGGCTGGCTGGCCTCGGCCTCGCACAGTGGGCTGAAATCGCATTCTAGCCGCTTATAATTAATTTCTCTGTCACTCTTGGTCTTAGAGCCTTCAAATTTGGTGTGTAGCATGTAATAATGGCACAAAATAACTCCCTAAAAATATTTTACAATTTGATGAACCTGCGACCGAATCCAAGAAACCCGGGTTCAAATCTCGGTAGGGTTTCGTTGGTCAATAATGTTGGTGTTGAGATTAACATCATATCTCATGTTTTTGAGTGTGCTGATGCCAAATTTGATATCGAAGTTGACCTCAGACTTAGATTTCAGTCCCCGTGGGCTCAGAAAGACCATTTTTCTACATTTTTGTTTGTTTTGAGGACTTTGTAACCTAGGGTTATGTTAAAAATACAGTCTGACTAGTGATTCTAATGCCGGAAAATTTCCGGGGAAAAATGCAGAAAATTTCTGAAAATTTCCGTATTTTTCCAAGAGCCCCGGAAAAGATGGAAAAATGCAAAAAATGCGCATTTTGCATGTTAATGAAGTCACATGACAAAACGCTGAATTCCTGTTATTTTTGAACACAAAAGTCAGTCGCAGTGACTTCGTAACATTGTTTTTCGTGGCTTTCGTGGTTGTGGTCGTCTGCTGAAGCTTCTAGAAGGCAGTGAGGGGGATGGAAACAAACGTAAGTGCATCGGTATAAGCAGTTGCCTTGACTGGCGAATGTCAGGTGTTGTCTCAGTAGTCCATCACAAGTGTGAGGCAAGCTAAAAAGAGTTGCAACGCTGCCCGCCTTTTAAGTATTGATTCACTCGCCCCCGCCGATCTCGTCGCCGTCGCTAGATTTGATTTTGACTGCAAATGTCACATTGTGGATAGGGATAGGGGTGGATAATTAAGTATTGTCAATAAACGGCCTTACGGAAAAATATTGCCCTCAGAACGGCGATACACAGAAATATCGCCAAAATTTGGCGATACTTTTTGGTATTGCCAAAACCACGGCATTAAACTAAGAACTTGTCCCCTTGATTTGTTAAACGTTTATTGCCAAATTGTGGGAATACTCCAAAGTATCGCCAAATTTTGGCGATAAATTTGTGTATTGCCGTTTTGAAGGCAATACTTTTCCGTGAGGCCGTTTACTGGCAATACTTAATTGTATCGCCAAAAAAAGGTACCAAAAGTATCGCCATTGGATTTACAGTGGAGACAGAAGGTAGTGTCTGTACTTTTGTCCTGTACTGTTCCATCGTACTCTGATTTTCTTGATTTGAATCCATTTAATCTATAATACTTCTGCAAATATTAAAAATGGTTAATTGTTTTCCTTTTCCTGCACCTCACACAAGTTTCCCCATCGTTTTACCACGTTTTCTGACATTTTTGCAGCAAAACTCACTATTTTTCCAAATTTTTCAATTTTTCTGGAATTTTTCCGTATTTTTCCTATTTTTCAGGAAATTTTCGGAAAAGTTGAATCTTTCCGGAAAATTAGAAACACTAAGTCTGACTCCTCGTTTCGTCCCCTGGGGTCTCCG